GACTTAGAGTTGTCATGGCAGTGGGGACTTAAAAGTCTGATGTCATCCTGCTGTTAGTCAAAAGTCAAGAGGTGAACTTGGGCAGGACTCTTTGGAAACCTGAGATCCCAGTAAACTTGGAATATAAGAGAGGTATACTGTCCCTCTCCTCTCTTTCTTCCTTGAGATCATCCCCTTTTCCCTTTCCTATCCCTGGCCAGACAGGTTGCACAAGCCTATATCCCAGCGACCTGGTCGGCTGTGGCAGGAGGATTGCAAGTTGAAAGCCAACCTGGGGGGTAGCTCAGAGGAAGAGCACTTGCCCGACATGCATAAGGCCCTGGTTTAATCCTCAGCATTACAAAAAATAAAGTTAAAAAAAAAGTAAATAAAGAACATACCACAGTTTAAAAAACCAAAAAGCCAGCCTTTGGAGATGCTATCTCAAAATAAAAAAACAAAAATAAATAAAAAGGCTGGGGATGTTGCACAGTGTTTAAGCCCCTGGGTTCAATCCCCGGTACAATGAATATAAATATTGAAAAAAGAATACACGCCGGTTACTCTGAGGTAAATGTCTGAAATCTTTCCAACTTGATCACAAGAATCAGGGTTTGAAAGGGGGACCTTTGTGCTGCCTTCGTTTCCTGGAAGGCCCCATGTCCTGCAGCACTGTGACAGAACTAACTGCCGTAAACGATCTTCTTGATAGAATCCTCTCAGTTTGAGTGTCTATGTTTTATGAATTGATATCTGCCAATACTTTCCATAAAACTACAAATACCTCTTATGAAAAACATGGTTTCCTATGAAGAGAGCACAATATGCCACTCTCAATATGGTGTCACCAAGTCTAAATGGTGGTTCCAGGAGGGGGTACAAGTCTTTGAAGGCATCTGGAAAACAAAGTCCTCAGGTCCGATGTGGTCGTCCCTCATGCTACACAGGCACGGATTCTGGGCTTTGGTGGTTTGATGGTAGACTCTGTAGTTTCATGTGGAGGACCAAGTTTTGATTTCTGGCTAATGTATGTGATTGTCACTTGCTCTGCATGGTTCATCAATGCCTCTACAGAGTGTCCATGGGAGTCTTTGTGGTACATGCAAGACTAGGACAGTAATCTTTTTGCTATTCTGCTGGATTATTTATGAGTAAGGTAACTCAGGTCTCCACAGAAATATAGTCACCAGGAGCAAATTATGCAGACTTGATAGTGGTTTTAAGATAAATGATACTCGAGAATTTGTCTAAGCAGCTGGTCGACGTGGGGCTGAGACAGGAGGATTGAGAGTTCAAAGCCAGCCTCAGCATGGTGAGGCTTGCTAATTAGTACCTCAGTGAGACCCTGTCTCTAAATAAAACAGATAAATAAAATGCCCCTGAGTTCAATCTCCAGCACCAGAAAAAAAAAAAAAAGGAATATTTCTAAGCAGTAGAGAAATTGTTGGCTTTAGAAACCATGTTGTGGTCTTGGAGGGATCAGTGTTTTGCCTGAGGTGTACAACCACTGCTCTGGGTTGTGTATTGGTAAAAAGTAAGTTCTAGTATATTTCTGTAGTGTGGAACCTTAGGAAAAATACCCTCACCACATTTGCCAATATCTCTGACTGATTCAGGCAAATTATCATTTGGTCCTGATTGTGTACTGGGCTTTGTACAGGTCGTCTGGTAACTTCTTACTATGCAGGGGGGTGAAGAAACTGAGACTTCAGAGAGTTCTCCAGATACGCGGAAAATAGAAATACACCAACAGTAGTAAAAGTCCTAGAGGTCCTGGCCTTATGGGACCAGAAAAGAGCAAAGTCTGTGGTGATAGAACTGAGGCCCTCTGGACTCCCAGCAGGGTAGAGGTCGGAGCCTGGGTGAATGTGGGTGGGGGACTGAGGCTCTTGACCTATCAGTGCCCTCAGCAGCAGTGCCATCGGGCTCCAGAAAGGCATGGCACATCCAGAGAGGACAGGAGGCAGGGCAAAGTGCTGGCGGTTGTGACTTCCATTCTAGACAGACAGTAGGGGGCAAATATAAAGCAAATATAATTTATTAAATTTTGAGACAGGTTCTCCCTAAATTGCTTAGGGTCTCCCTAATTTGCCAAAGTTGGTCTTGAACTTTCCATCTTCCTGCCTCAGCCTGCCAAGTTGCTGGGATCACAGGTGTTCATCACCGTACCCCACTGTAGATAAATTTTTAAAAACTGTTAGCTTAGGGTTCAGGTTGTGGCTCAGTGGTAGAGTGCTTGCCTGCATGTCTAGGGCACTGGGTTTGGTTCTCAGCATCACATATTAATAAAATAAAGGTCTATTGACAACTAAAAATATTTTTTGAGAAACTTGCTAGGCATGGTGGCACATGCCTATAATCCCACCGTCTCTGGAGGCTGAGGCAGCAGGATTGCAAATTTGAGTCCAGCTTTGTCAATGTAGCAAAAACCCTGTCTCAAAAAATAAAAAGGGCTGGGGATGTAGCTCAGTGATAGAGTGACTTTAGGTTCAATCCATATACCTTTAAAGAAAAAAACTTATATTTTGAGGTAGCACTAATTGTAAAAAAACTTTAATTCTTTGACTGTGGCTCTCACCACCTTCAAAGTCAGCAGTTAAGAGCTCCTTCCCCACTGATCACTGGCATGCTTGGGATCTTTCTGACATTCTAGTTCTATGTGCTCTAGACCCATATTTAAAGGCCTCATGATGAATTAAGTTCACCTGGATAACCTCCCCATTTTAAGGCCAATTTAATCACATCTGCAAAATTCCTTTTGGCATATAACCCTACATGATTATACAGTAGGAAAGCTAACGTTATACTACCTCAAGACATTATATTACCTCAAGACAAAACAACAGATCTTAAATAACAAGTCGTACCAGAGACAAAGAAGGATATTTCATAATTATAAAAGGCTTAACCTACCAGGAAGATATAACAATTACAAACACATATGCATCTAACAAAACCCCAAAAATACAGAAAGCAAAATCTGATGCAATTGAAGGGAGAAGTAGAAAATTCAACAATAACAGTTACAGATTTCAATACCATATTTCTAATAAGGGGTAGAAAAACTAGGCAAAAGATCAACAAGGAAATAAAATGTTTAAAATAACATGGCCGAATAGACACCAGTAGAATACAACATTTAAAAATACTGATATCATCTAAAGCTTTTGAGACTCTCAAAAACCTGGTGTATTTGCAGGCTGGCATGAGGGTTGGGCAGTTTCCTTCACTTGTCATGACTGTTGAGTGGTACAGATGGGCGTGTCCACGGTCCTGCACGTGTGGCCACCAGCCTAGAGAGCCGGGCAGCAGAAGTGAAGAGACACACATGCGAGAGGAGTCTCTCTCACCACTGGGGAGGAATTGATATGAAGGAAATGAGGTATGTCAGGGATCACTTTCTCCCACCTGTGCCAATATTTGTAACCTCAACTTCTTTGCCACTAAACCCCCTTGCACAGGAATTCTGTGGTAACTTCTTACCACAGAAATATTTAAAATTTTTAGGTAATATGGTATTCTTCTGATTCTTCTCAGAAGAATCTCCCACCACAGACTCACAATCTTGATTTTTACCATGCTCTGAGAATATATCCTCAGCTCAACAGCATTGGTTGACCTGAAACTACTAATCATTGTTGCATAAAAACTGCTCCAAAGAATAGTTTCAATTGAAATAAGGTGGTCACTAATGTATTTGAGATATACATAAACTACGTCAAGATCTGATCTGGAAAAAAAGATTCTGTGAAATCAAACGTGACAGATTGGAAGAGATCCTGGGGAGGCAGAATGAAAGTGGCAAGCACACATTTGGCATATAGAGATTAAAAACCAAAACCCCACACACAGAAGAGGAGGATGGGATCAGGAGGCAGAGGCCTGAAACCTATCTTCAAGTTAATGAAAAGCCAACGTGTTTCCTTAGTGGAGGAAACGGAGCCAGCCTAACATTGGGCACTGCAAGAAGAACCTGAAGACAGAACCCAAGTCCTCACACACCATTCACATGTAGAGAATACCATACTCAGGATTTTTTCTTATAATATTACAATAGTATGAAAAAATCTTGAGAGGAATCAGAGAATACCATATTATCTAAAATTTTTAAATATTTTAAGGAAAAAAATGATGTCATGGCAGTCCTCAATATAACTTAAGAATTGGGGAAAATATTGATTCCTTTGTGTTTTCTATGCACTTGCAAAAATTAAAAAATGAATGTATGTTTGACTTTTAGACAGAGATGGCCTTTAGGATTGTCACACAGACACTGAGAAGTGCTGTGGAGGGCACGGCGTCACTAGTGGCCTTGTGTGTCACTGTGGACTAGGCAGCCAGAGGCGGGAGTTGCTGAGATTCCCCGACATCCTCCACCTTCTGATTCTGTTATCCAACTCCAGGTCTGGCACAGGGCCCTCCCTCCTGTGGGGGTCTGAGCCACAGGCTGACTTAGGCTCTGAGTCTGGGCATCTTGGGCTTTATTTTTGTGGCTAAGGATTTGAAGGGTTGTGGTATGCTGACAAAGTTTATTCCAAAAGTAAGTTATGATCGAATCTGCTTTTTTTGTGTGGTGGTACTGGGGATTTGAATTCAGGGGTGCTTTACCACTGAGGTACACTCCCAGCCTTTTTTATTTAGAGGCAGAGTCTCACTGAGTTGTTGGTGCCTCGCTTTTGCTGAGGCTGGCTTTGAACACATGATCCTCCTGCCTCAGCCTCCCAAGCTGCTGAGATTACAGGCGTGCAGCACCATGCCTGGCTCAAGTCTGCATTCTTTATACTTGTTTTGATTCTTTTTTTTTTTTTTTAATGTAAGGAAACTAAATTTTAATCACAATAAAGAACTCTTTTTTATAATTTATATACCATAGACTTCATCCATTATATTTGTATAGTTGGGTGATTTTTATTAGTTTACCAAGTAGTACAATCATCACCATGATCACTTATTTTTAATTTATTATTTGTTTGGATCTCTTATCCCCAGGTTCTGGTTCTACTTCTACCACAAACTTTAGCATGGCAGTATCTCCCGCTACTCCTTCTGGTCCAAGGAAAGAAATGAACATTCTGGAATCTAACCAGTACTTGCTCTCTCAGCTGGAAGAAAGCAAACAGAAATTGCAAGATCTCAGAGAGAAATACCTCACTTCCAAAGCTACGGCTTTCTCTCTGGCCAACCACCTGCAGAAATATGGTAAGTCCTACTGGGGCATGGTCACCAAAGTGATAAATGTACATCAGAAGTTAAGCATTCTTCAAATTTTCTGCCACGCGACCAGCACGCTAGCTTCATACTAGAGGTTCGAAACATAGAAATTAACTAGTGAGATCAAATTAAAGACACATAACTCTCAAATTACCTTTTTCTTGCCCAGCTCAGAGACAGCTTCCCCCAGCTCTTGCCTCTAGCCACCTGACGGGGTAGTAAGGTTTACACAACAGACCAGCAAGAGAGAGAGACCATGCCAGAAAGTGAGCTTTTATTGGGGAACAAAAAATTCAGGGGAAAATTCCATCCAATGAAGGTCGAGGGGGACAGCATTCCAAGGTCAGGGTCAGTGGTCAGTCACACCCCCACACGGACAGGCTCTCGCACCAGGAGAGGGTCGGGAAAGCTCCGACACAGTTTAGCCAGAGCGCCTCACACCCAATCTGGGAGTTGCCCAATCACGTGCGAGAATGGCTTCCCACGCTCTAACACAGCTTGCTTGTCTGAGCGCCTCACACCCAGCCAGGAAGATAGCTCAATCACGTGCGAAAACGGCTTCCCACATATCCCTCCTTTTTTCTTTTAAAAATCAGGCGATGATTTACTCTCTCGATACAGTAAGAAAGCTCTGCACTTTTGCTCCGAAGACTCACCATCCTATAATTACAACACAAAAGAGAATTAACAGCAAAGAGAACAATCCAATAATGTACCAGGCTGAGTGTTTAAGAATATTTCCAGGGTTAAATCCATTTAACTCCTTCAATATTTGGTTAGCCAAAGAAGAAGGATCTGAAAAATCAGCTCTATTATTTTGAATTTCTGGGATATGGTGGTGAAGTTCCAAAAGATCCAAGCTATTATTATTATTTTGCCAAATACCTAACAAATGTTCTTAACCTTCTCCCAATCCCAGAGAGAAGCATTGTACTTGGCAGCTGTAACACACACATATTTATAATTTGCGTGGCATTTAAGCCTTTCCTTAAACTTTAAAGCCGAAAGTTCATTACCTATGTCTATAACAGTCGCCTCTAAGGCGTTTAACTTAGTCTCAATCCTTTCATCAATATTTACTTGATTATGCAGAGCCTTGGAAGTATTTTGGGCTAAATTAAGAAATTTTGCATGTTGAATATTTTGAGATAAGATTATTGAGGCAGTAACACTGGATGCAATAAAAGAAACAGCGCTAAAACACCAACAATTATAATTCCAATAGCACATTTAGGTCTCGCTAGCTGGGCATGGATTTACTGTAAGACTTGAAAACCAGCATCAGCGTACCATGGCTCTGAAATATTAGCACTCCTTTTCCTCTATTATACCTAGTAATACAATTGGTTAGGTTACATTTGTTACGTGTAACAACATATCTTTCATCTATCCATTTAACTTTTACATTTCCAATAATTAAAACGTAAGGAGATTGGACACAGGCTCGTAAGCCATAGCAAGATTCCTCCTTACAGTTCTTGCCAACAAATTTTGGTAAAGGCTTGTCTGTAAAATATAAGAATTCTGAGGTAGCAATTAAATGCCAAACATCTTTTTGAATACCACCTTCACTATAAGTTAAAATATTACTAACAAATCCTGCAGGTGTCATAGCAGAATTTCTTCGTAATTGTCTCTTATCAATTTTTGGAGACCAGTCTAAAATATACCCACTATCTTTAGACACCTTATGTTGTACAGGAAAGGTATTTACACAATCTATCCATCTAGGAAAGGTGCCAATCTCAATTGTAGAACTGTTTGGACAGTGGGATATCCATGGAGGTTTTGCAGAAATGACTGGCTTGTTATGGGAAAGTCCCATCTTAATTACTGATCTAGTATAAGGTTTTAAGTCTCCATAAATAGTATGACTAGTCAGTCTAGGTCTACCAATCGCTGTCTTTTCCTCGAATGATACTTTCAGACAGCCAGCATGTTTATCGTGGGACCAACACAAAGGTAATTGGGCACTGTAGCCAGAATAATTAAATCTAGTCACATGATTGGGAGTAATATGAGTATCTGTAAATCCTCCCATCATGAATGAGTCATTAGTAAACACTGGAATAGATTCTCCAGTCCACACAGCTGGGTGTACCAGGGGTGGATCTGGGAAATATGTCCAGTAAGTGTCTGCTTGGCCCCCCTTTACCTGACAGCCCAGCAGGGCAATCACGGTAGCTACCATCATCACTGGGGTCTTGTTTTTTCCTAGGAGTCGAATTATTCGGGAAGCCTGTGTTGTTAGCTTCTTCACGTCTTCCCATGAAATCAGCTTTTCAGCTGGGTCAATCTGGTTTCTCTTTGTCTTTTTCCGATATCTCTTCCTTTTGAATGGGGGCTTCTCCGGGTCGATCTTCAGTTGCTTGAACCTCGGTTCTATCTCTTCCATGTCTGATTGCACGTTCAGGCACCCAGATAGGACGAAAAGCCCCTTCTGGAAAAATACAAGCATAACCTCTGCCCCACATAATCACTGGGTCTGGGCCTTTCCATTGACCAGTCTGTAAATCTTTCCACAAAACTCTGCCTAAAGGGCCTGTTACTGCAGGAGACATATGTCTGTCAGCTGCAGTGTGACCTTCTGTGTCACAGTTTAAAAAATTTAAAATGAACAAGGCATGGTTGAGGCTATTTTGGGGAGTCATAAGCCTATTCTGCCCTTTTAACTTTTGTAATTGAAGCTTAATAGATAAATGAGCTCGTTCCACAATGGCTTGACCTTGGGGGTTATAAGACATTCCTGTTTTATGATTAATTTGAAACTCTTGGCAAAATTGTTGAAAAGAAGAGCTTACATAAGCTTTTTGCATTATCTGTTTCAATCTATAAAGGGCACCTTAACACAGCAAAGGCTGCTGGGCAATGAGAAATTACATGTTGAGTATTTTCTTTTGTACGTGCTGTGGCAAAAATAAATCTGGAATGTGCATCAACTAAACATTATTTACCAAATTGAGGAATATGAGTTACATCCATTTGCCATATTTTGATTTGGTTTTAATCCACCGGGATTTACCCCTGATGGCAAAGATGGAGAATGAATGACATACTTAGGGCAGTGACTTACAATCTGACTAGCTTGTTCTCTGGTAATATTAAATTTTTTACATAAGCTAGAAGCATTTTGATGATGTAAGGAATGGGAAGCTTGTACACAATCATATGGAGACATCTGTTGACAAACAGCTACTAATTTATCAATCTTGTCATTACCTGAAGCTAAAAGTCCTGGAAGATTAGTGTGAGCCCGTATGTGTCCTATGAAACATGGGTATTTTCGCATTTGTACTGCCTTTTGTAAATTATGAAATAATTTAAATAACTCTTGTGATGAAGTATATCCCAATAACTGAAGTTTCAATATTTTTGGTAACTTCGACTGCATATAAGCTGTCAGAATAAATGTTAATAGGCTCATTTGTAAGGTAATTTAAGGCACAAATGAGGGCTTGAAGTTCCGCTTTTTGGGCAGAAGTATATGAAGTTTGCATTACCTCTGTGTGAACACAACTATAAAAACCTGCTTTACCTGAGCTTGAACCATCAGTGAACAGATAGGGCTCCATCTATGGGCTGGGCACGTACAATCTTTGGAAAAATAAGCGGTGTTAATGATGCAAATTGAATAATTTTATCACAAGGGTAATGACTATCTATCTGGCCAGGAAAATCAGCAAAAGCTATCTGTCATAAGCTCTAGAAGTTTGAAAAAGCCAATTGTTTTGTTGAACAGAAAATGGAATAATTATGATATCAGGCTCAGATCCAATTAATTGTAAAACTCTCGCTCTACCTTTAATTACTAATTGAGCAATAGAGTCATGAAAAGGAATCAATGTTTTTTGAGGGGAGTGGGCTAAATAAATCCACTCAATAACTCCCAATCTTTGCCATATGGCTCCTGTTGGGGTATGCTCAGTTGGAAATATTAATAAATACACTATTTCTTTAGGATCAACTCTAGTAAGTTGTGCATTTCTAATTGCACTTTCAACCTTTTTAAAAGCTGTTCTAGCCTCTATTGTTAGCTGACGTGGAGATGTTGGGGAAGGATTCTCTTGTAATATCTGAAATAAAGGACTCAAATCAGAAGTAGTTAGTTTTAAGGATGGCCTCAGCCAATTAATATCTCCTAATAGCTTTTGAAAATCATTAAGGGTATGTAACTTCTTAACCTTTATCTGAAGATTTTTGTGGACGGATTGTACGTCTTTGAATTATCTGACCTAAATATTGAAAAGGAGGCATCTTTTGTATTTTTTGAGGAGCAATGCATAAACCCATTGCTGTAAGTGAAGCCTCTTACTGAGTAAAAATTTCTGAAAGTACCTCTGGATTAGCATGAGCCAATAATATATCATCCATAAAATGAATAATATACGATTCAGGAAAGCTATTTCTTATAGGAGCTATCGCCTGATCTACATATTTCTGGCATAAGGTAGGACTGTCATGCATTCCCTGGGGGAGTACTTTCCAGCAATATCTTTTAACAGGTTTTTTAAAATTAATTGCTGGGACAGTGAAGGCAAATTTTTCACAATCTCCAGGATGTAACCTTATAGAGAAAAAGCAATATTTTAAATCTATTACCATCAAGCTATAGTTTAAAGGGATGGCTGTGGGGGAAGGAAGTCCTGGCTGTAAGGATCCGATAGGCTGAATTGCATGATTTATCGCCCTTAAATCCTGTAGTAATCTCCAATTACCTGATTTTTTTTCTTAATAACAAAAATGGGGGTGTTCCAAGGACTAAGTGTTGGCTCTATATGACCAGCCTGAAGTTGTTCCTCAACTAACCTATGAATTACTTTAAGTTTTTTTCCTGAGATGGTCCACTGAGAAATCCATATAGGCTCCTCTGTGAGCCAGGTGATCTTTTCAGCTGTCTTTTGGATCGGGGAAACACTAAGGGCCCCTAATAAAACTTTTGTTTTGGAGTATTTACTAATCTCTGTTGCGGAGACTGGTTTTCAAGCAGA